GGAATCCATTCGGACAATAACTCTAGGCCTACAAGAGAGCAACAAAGTTGGCTGTTTATCTCTCCATTTTATATAAAATGTAAAGAAAAAAAAGCTTCAGAGGCATCGAATGATTTAAATACTTAATTATTAATGCGCTGGCCTTTTTGCGCTTGTCCGCGTATAAAAATATAGATGGCATTGGAAAAGGCTACTCATTTTCAATTATTTTTGAATGAGGCTTTGGTACCCTTGCTCGCTTGCAATGATAAACCATTGTAAGAAAGCTCCACTATCAATCCTTAAATCATCGTAACTGGCCTAGGGTGACTGAATTTCTGTTCATAAAGTATGGATAGCTTCGAAATCTACTCTTACTGTATCTATGCAATTTCAGCAATTCATCTCTTCATCAATTCTAAGCACGCATCTCTTTAAAACTTGGTGAGGCCGATGCTTCACGACTAATTTGTCCTCTGCCAACACCGCCAGATGTACGCCTATGATGACTACAGATCGGAATGCAATCCCATTCGCCTCACATGTTGGGGCCTCAGGCCGTGCTTCTGCCCGTCCGACTTCTCCGGACTCTGATGGCTTGCGCTGTTGCATCCTCAAGTTGTCAGGACAAATCAATAGAGTCGCCATGCAACCAGCAGACCTGGGCCACTTTGTCCGCGTTCTCTTGAACATGCAAGCAGAGACCCTTTCTCTTCTGGTTGCTGGTGGCAACCGAGGAGGCATTGTTACAAGTTAACCTGTCGTGAGATGGTTGAGAAGGTTGTGTAGGTTGAGAAGGTTGTGTAGGATTGAAGGGTAGCAATGGTGAAAACTTTAAAACCAATATTTACACGTTAAAGTCACCAGCACCTGCTCGTCTGCTTGCCTGTCTGGCCACTTGACTACCTACATGTAATTCTGTATGCCTATCGATGCCATGCATGTTCCGTGGTCCCGTCCAACATTCTGTCAGGCAGCCCGTTCCAAGTAAAAATAGCAACATGGCTGCCCATTGAGGACTCTGCAATGTCTGCATGTGGCTGGGCCCTCTTTTGTTGCTGACCGTGTAAAAAACATTTAGTACAGGCGGGGAGAGGGGGGTCGGACAACAGGCTTATGTCCCGAAATAGCCACCCCCGGGTCTGCATCGGGCAGCATGACTTGACCCAGCCCAGTTCTGAAACCTTCGTCCCCATGGCCTCATAATGTTCCACTCTTAGCCCGAAATAGTGTAGATGTATACAGTTGAATAGGAACACTTTACTGTATATAATTTATAGCATTGTATCCGCCCATTTGTGTGGTACTTGTGAGACTTATGCATTTGTGCAGACTCGTCGTCAGTTCAAACATAACTATCTGCATCAGCCTTGCTCTCTTCCCCTTTCTCATTCTCTCTTCCAGCTTCCCCCGCTCCGCTTCTTCACTCTCCTAAGCCGCAACCTCTTCCTCCTCGTTCAACTTTTCCTCACCATCCTCATCTTTATTCTCATCCTCTTCTTCCTCTTCCTCCTCCTCCTCCTCCCTCTTCTTCTCCACCTACTCCTCCTCCCACTGGTGGCATGTACACCGTTTCTAAGGCCAGTCTCCTGTTCTGCCTTTCCTGTCTCCAGGTTGCGCCTCGTGGCCTCACCTCCCTCGGCCAAAATGGAATCCTCCAAAGGTCTTCTTACATACAGGCTGTCCTTGAATGTGAGCACTTCAGGCGACTTTAGTCGCTGGTTGAATTGGGCTGAGCTATTCTTTTGCCTCGTCACAGACTGACCCAGCAGTCTACAGCTTCTGAAATTCCCACCCCCCTCGGCAACCCGCTTCCCAACACATGGAACGAGCAGTTTTTTAGCCACCCCTCACAACACGTCTGTTGCCAGAGTTGAGACCAGACGGAGCCCTGCATCTATCGACGGGCTGGCGAAGAGGAGGCGTGAACCTGTAGCCCATGAACACCACCCTCTCCGTGGACAATTGTACATCGAGAGGCTGTATGATGTGGGGAAGGAGGATGAGCGCCTACATGCAGGCCGGGGCACGGAAAGAAATGGTTCAGAGACTCTAACCGGTCGACAAGCGGCTGTCCGGCGGCTCTCGGCGACCCTTTCGTTCACCCCCAGAGAGCCAATTGCCTACATACAGACAGTCA